TCCAACAGTATAGCTGTCAATTTTTCATTAACCATTATGAAGTTCATCCGGTTTTTGACAGCCTCGAAGCTGTGGAGAGGAGTCTTCCAAGCCATTGCGATAGCCAGTTTAATAGCCATAAATAAATGTGATGCAGCTGCCGTTCAGGGCAAGGAAGGCCCTCCAGTGGTTTAAATAGGAGCGATTCGTACGGGTTACGCTTAATGTCTGCGTGAAGCATAGTGCAGAGAAGGGCATAAACCCTAATCCACAATCTGCTAACCTTAGGGCAAGTCCACCAGATGTGAACCATAGCACCCAATTGTTGGCATCCCCGGAAACAAGCCGGAGAATATGTGGGGATAAAATTAGCTAGACGAACAGGCACATAATACCATCGATAAAGAATTTTGTAGGCGTTTTCGAGAATGATGACATTCCTCGAACATTTAGACAATGCTTGGGTCATGGTCCACCAATCCTGTTGATCCAAAGTCCCCCCAAGTTCCGACTGCCAACGTTGGTGATAGGAACGAACCGGAGGAGTTCTATAAGAAATAATGGCAGAGTAGACCAAAGAGATCAGACCCAGAGCATGGGGTCTATGTCTGCACTGGCTTTCAAAGGGGGACAGACGGTAAGGTCCTGAGTGCGTCCGTATTAGTGTATTAACAAAATGATGGAGTTGAAGGTAACCAAAGTGTTCCCGCAAAGGAATGTTATAGGAAGATTGCAGGGTTTCAAAGGTAAGCGAGTGGGAGCGAATGTACATCATAAAAACCATGTGTTTGCCACCAGGCAAATTGCCTAGGATTGTCCTGCCCTGGAGGGAATAACGGGTTATGTAACAGACGTAACACCGGTAGATGGGCAGAGATAAGGCCAGCGGAATATTTAATGGAATCCCAAAGACGAAGCGAAAGCTTCAGCGTCGGGCTAAGGGTTGATGGACGATGAGAAAAAGGAAGCCACGGTAAGGAAGAGAGTGGTATCGGATGGCAGTCTAACAAATCTACAGTAGCCTACAAGGGGAAATGGTGAGATGCATGAATATGAGCTAGGGGGGCAATATTAGCTGCCAGGTAATAAGACTGGAGATTCGGGACAGATAGGTTGAAAATACCATCTTGTCTATGTAACTACTGTATATATGCTAATGCATGCTGTGATGCCAAATTAATGTAAATGCTGCTGTACTGTCTCAAATGTTTCTTTAAACAAAAAAAGCATACCTTCTGATACCCAATCTGCATGCAGAATATGGTGGCTTAGTGACTTGACAAAATCCACAGGCAGTAAACCTCATCAGGATGTCACAGAAGTAGAATCCAATGTATTTTCATTCTAATTTTCAGCATAAAATGCATGTTTTTCTGTGTTTCTTGCTGGGAAAAAAGGACTTTTGCCTCTCTATCTTCCAACTTGAGGGACTGTTTGTAAAAAAAAAAGACTGACAAGGGAGGGAGGGTTTGTAGAGTGAAAGATATCCAAAACATATTCTGTAAACATAAACAGGCTGCTTGGGCAGCATAGTACCTGTTACTGTGAATTCTTCAACATTTTACAGATGAAGATTTACTGTTAATGAGCCTAATACCACAGCAGCAGGTGCTAGATGTGCATCTGCATGAGGCCACCTAGCATCTCTTTGTACAATCCTTGGTGTTTATCTAAAGTCAGCTATTGCTCATACCAGTGGTCTCCAAACTGTGGACCGGGGGTCGCACATGGACCTTTGCTTGTTTTTAGCTGGCCCTTGAGGCACTATATATCCAACTGACACCAATGGTGGAGCACTATTCCCATTGACACCCAATTATGGGACATTATTCCTCCCACTGACACAAATGATAAGGCGCTATTCCTCCCACAGCCACCAATGAAGGGACACTATTCCTCCCACGGACACCAGTGAAGGAACACTAATCCTCCCACTGACACCAATGATGGGGCACTATTCTTCACACTGACAGCAATGATGGGACACTATTCCTCCCACGGGCACCATTAATGGGTGCTCTACCCGCCTCCTGACACCAGTTTTGGGGCGCTCTTCCTCCCACGGACACCAATTATGGGGCACTCTTCCTCCCACTGACACCAATGATGGAGCACTGTTCCTTCCACTGACACAATTAACAGGCAGCATACCTCCTGCTGACACCATCATTGGCTAACTATTCATCCCACTGATAGCAATTATGATGTATTGTTTACTCCCACTGGCCACAGTGTGGCCCTCCTAAAGCATGAAGGACCGTAAACTGGCCCTTTTTTTGGAGACCCCTGGCTCTTACTATAAGATTGCATGCTTAAAATCCATTTCTAGCTGCTTATTTTAAAATAGTATTAGACCCAAAAGAAGACCGTTATTATATTGCAGCTTACTTATTTTAGATGTGATTACTGTATTAATTTTCTTTTTTAGGCTATTTCTTCAGGTGATCCAGCCAATAAGTCTGTTTGTCAGCAGAATAGCTCTCTTGCAGTTACAGGGATGAGACAGACTATTTACCACTGACAGGTGCTTAAAGCGATCAGATTTTCTTTATAATCATTTACAAACAGTTTTTCCTTTTGGAACAAAGCTTTTGTATATAAATAAAGTATTAGCTGGAGATCAGCTTCAATTTGTTATTGTATTTGAATCTGCTAGTCCATCTAACACTCCCCTCCCCCCAGACTGATAATGCTGCTGTTATATCTGACCCCTGTGCTCATTGCTCCAGACTAGTGTCTGTATTATACATGAGGTGTGGTACTGGCCAGATCACCAGGAGAAAAGAGAGGGAAAAAGCCTATCAAAGGGAAACTAATACAGCCACTCCACCTAATGATTGGTAAGCTGCAATATATTACACTTTTGGTTTTGGGTTTAATACCACTTTGGTGTAATATATATAGTTTACATTTTGATTGTAATATCCCAACATCGTTAATGGTTTTCTGGTATAGTTCTATGTAAAATGTACGTTGTCTTAATGTGGTAACACTTCAAGAGAAACTCTGATCTATACAAACATTTTCTAATAATATAATTATAAATGCTTATAAAGATTGTGCTGCTTAGCTATTTAATTATGTTTTTATCTGTTTCTAAAGCTTTATTGTCTCTCAAAGTGCAGGTTACCTGGTCCTCTAAATCCGATACTAAATAATTTGTTGTCTATCCCTGTCCTATTAAAGTAGGATCAAAGCAAAGGGAAACAATTATATTGCAGCTTACCAATTCTTAGATGTGATGGCTGCATTACTTTTGTGTTTTTTTAGGCTTTTTTCCTTTATTTTCACCTGTTGATGTTTGTTGCCTGTTGTTTTTTTTTTCGATAGAATAGGCTCTCTTGCATATGTAGCAGTTGAAGAATTGAGACAAGCCATTTACCACTGAAAGGGGTGCTTACAATGATCCCCTTTTATTAGTTTATGTAAACCCTTTATCCCAAAAGGAGCACAACTGTTGCTGTACTTAAAAATTGTTATGCAGTTTGCCTTCAATTTTTTTTAGTGTATCTAATCTGCTAGGGCAGGGGTCTGCAACCTTTAAGACATAAAGAGCCACTTGGACCCGTTTCCGAGAGGGAAAAAAAGACGGGGAGCCGCAAAACCATTGCAACATTTAAAACAAATCCGACACTGCATATATTGCAAAAAGCGCTCTGGTCATGAAGGGGGTTAAGGGCCCAGTAAGCAAAGGGTTAATCAGGGCCACAGTGTATCGTCATAATCACAATCATAGCCTTAGGTCAGTGGTGGGCAACCTTTTTTTTCAACTGAGCCAAATCTCGCCAAAACCACGATTGAAATTTATTTTGAGAGCCACATTTTTAAAACTGAAAATACATCCCCCATATAGTAATTAATCCCCCATATAGTAATTCATCCCCCATATAGTAATTCATCCCCCATAGTAATTCATCCCCCATATAGTAATTCATCCCCCCCATAGTAATTCATTCCCCCCATATTGTGTCAATTCACTTACCTTTGCTCCGTGCGTTCCTCTCGCCGTGTTCCCGCGCCGTTCCGGTCTTCAGGGCGGACTGTGAGAGGAGAGGAGTTCGTCACGCTGCCCCGCCTACATCCTGACAGCCAATGTTTGCCACGCTCCGCGGGCCAGATTAAAAGGTCCGCCGGGCCGTAGTTTGCCCATTGCTGGGCTATCTGCAGAGTCCTGACTTTTGGGGCGGCCGCCTGAGAGGAGGGAGGGGAGCGGGCGCCCAGGCACACAGAAGAGCCGCATTGAAGTGTGTAAATAGCCGCGGCTTGCCGACCACTGAGCTACGGCAACCCTATTGCCTGTCACCTGGTGGGCAGTGTGCTCCGGAGCCGCAGCAAAGGTGAAAAAGAGCCGCAGGTTGCCGACACCCGTGCTAGGGCATCTAACACTACCCCCAGCTCCCCCCAGGACTGCCAATACTGCTGCTCAAAGGTGTCTCTGTTGCTCTTTCATTCAGAGTGTAGACACCCTAATACAGGAAGTGTGTTACTGGCCAGATCACCGGTGAAAAGGGAAAAAGCCTAAAAACAGAACAATAATGCAGCCACCACATCAAATGATTGGTAAGCAGCAATATTTTACATTTTTGGTTTTAGGTTTAATACTGCTTTAGGTATAGCAGGGAAAGCTTCTATTGGTCTTGTAAGCTCTCCTTAGCAATGACTTTCTAAGAAGAAGTCCTAATTTTTTCCATGTACTTATGTCTGTAGAGCCATAGGAACCTCATGGTCTTGTTTTTGTTTGTTTTTCCATAGGGTAGTTTTTTCCCCAAATTATGTTGGAATCATTTTGTGTGGTCACTTAAGATGCTAATAGTTACTACTTATATTGCTAATAAGCTGCATTAAATGTAATATTGTAGCAGCACTCAAGCAATGCTTGGATCATGTGTTACTGCTTTATGTACCAGTGAAAGAAGAAAAGTGTTGTGGGGCAGAAACAATAATTCATTTTATTTAGGTCCCTTTTAAGATTTGAATGCTACAGCTAAACATGGCACCTACATAACTGTGTTCCTCTTTAGGGCTGTACCTGGATGTTTAGGAAGCAGAAATCAATTCAAGGAAGAATTTTCAAATCCAGTAGAACTTGGACAACGCCACAATGCCACAAAACGGGAGTTAGCCACTGGGAGAAAGGTCATGCAGAAGCTGGCAGTTAAAATGTCTTCATTTTTCCTGAGACGTACCAAAGCTCTTATCAGTAACCAGTTACCAAAAAAGGAAGATCGGGTCTGTATATTATTTTTGTATATACTTATTTCAGTAAGAAATTGTGTTTACTCATGAAAATATCTATGGAAAATAATGGGGATAGGGGAGAAGGCATAATCTCGGGCTATAAAAAAAGGTTAGTTGTATATCAGCTGGAAAATTATTTCACAAATCAAGGACTGTATTTTTTATTTCTTGTATCACTTTAAATACTTATGAGTAGCTCAGTTTTAAGCTAATGATGACAGTTATAGCCATGATATATTTAGAAACTTTGCCTTTTTAACTGCAGATTGTCTTTTGCGCATTATCTGAGTTCCAGAAAGCAGTTTATCAAACAGTGCTTGAAACTCAGGATGTCAGCTTGGTTCTTCGAGGGGGAGAAATGCAGTTGCAGCATTGGGCGGAAAAGAAGAAGGTGTTGTTATCAGGTAAGGAATAAACTTTGTGTTATATGACTATATATTATATTATAGACAATGTATATTTATTTGAAACATAACTAAAGAAGATTCAAGCAGAACTTTACCCATAACAACTTGCTAAAAAAATAACGTTCTTTAGCAAGGAACGTACTATCCACCCTTACCACCTGAATCCTTTTCACTTCGATTGTCTTTAAACTGACAGGCAGACTTGCTCCCACAGCCCCCCCCCCCCCCCATATGCATGCTGCCGCTATGTATTCCGGGCGATCTGCATTGCAATACACCCAGTGGAGCCCAGATACGTCTCATTAAAGAAAACCTGTCACCTAAAAATCATCACATAGGGGATGTGTGTCCCCTATGTCATAAAATGAAAAACGGTACGTAAACAAAAAATTTTCACAAAAAAATAAATTTACCCCAGGCGCATAACATCCCCCCCCCAAAAAATATTTTGAAGCCCCCACCACCCCCACATATACACACGTACGAATGTAAATGCAAACGTTTACGTCCATTGCGATACACATGTTACATACAGTCATGGCCGAAATTGTTGGCACCCTTGATATTTCTCCAGGAAATCATGTATTTCTCACGAAACGTATTGCATTAACACATGTTTTGCTATACACATGTTTATTCCCTTTGTGTGTATTGGGACAAAACAAAAAAAGGGAGGAAAGAAAGCAAATTCGACATAATGTCACACAAACCTCCAAAAATGGGCTGGACAAAAGTATTGGCACCCTTTCACAACTGCGGATAAATAAGAATGTTACAAGCATGTGATGCTCCTGTAAACTCACCTGGGCAAGTAACAGGTGTGGGCAATATAGAAATCACACCTGAAAGCAGATAAAAAGGAGAGACGTTCACTTAACCTTTGCATTGTGTGTCTGTCTGTGCCACACTAAGCATGGACAACAGAAAGAGGAGACGAGAGAACTGTCTGAGGACCTGAGAACCAAAATTGTGGCAAAATATCAACAATCTCAAGGTTACAAGTCCATCTCCAGAGAACTAGATTTGCCTTTGTCCACAGTGCGCAACATTATCAAGAAGTTTGCAACCCATGGCACTGTAGCTAATCTCCCTGGTCGTGGACGGATGAGGAAAATTGATGAAAGATTGCAACGCAGAATAGTCCGGATGGTGGATAAGCAGCCCCAAACATGTTCCAAAGACATTCAAGCTGTCCTGCAGGCTCAGGGAGCATCAGTGTCAGCGCGAACTATCCGTCGACATTTAAATGAAATGAAACGCTATGGCAGGAGACCCAGGAGGACCCCACTGCTGACACAGAGACATAAAAAAGCAAGACTACAGTTTGCCAAAATGTACTTGAGTAAGCCAAAAGCCTTCTGGGAAAACGTCTTGTGGACAGATGAGACCAAGATAGAGCTTTTCGGTAAAGCACATCATTCTACTGTTTACCGAAAACGGAATGAGGCCTACAAAGAACAAAACACAGTACCTACGGAAAAATATGGTGGAGGTTCAATGATGTTTTGGGGTTGTTTTGCTGCCTCTGGCACTGGGTGCCTTGACTGTGTGCAAGGCATCATGAAATCTGAGGATTACCAAAGGATTTTGGGTCGCACTGTAGGGCCCAGTGTCAGAAAGCTGGGTTTGCGTCCAAGATCCTGGGTCTTCCAGCAGGACAATGACCCCAAACATACGTCAAAAAGCACTCAGAAATGGATGGCAAAGAAGCGCTGGAGAGTTCTGAAGTGGCCAGCAATGAGCCCAGATCTAAATCCCATTGAACACCTGTGGAGAGATCTTAAAATTGCTGTTGGGAAAAGGTGTCCTTCCAATAAGAGAGACCTGGAGCTGTTTGCAAAGGAAGAGTGGTCCAAAATTCCGGGTGAGAGGTGTCAGAAGCTTATTGATGGTTATAGGAAGCGACTGATTTCAGTTATGTTTTCCAAAGGGTGTGCAACCAAATATTAAGTTAAGGGTGCCAATACTTTTGTCCAGCCCATTTTTGGGGTTTTGTGTGACATTATGTCATATTTGCTTTTCTGCCTCTGTTTTTATATTTGTTCCAATACATACAAAGGGAATAAACATGTGTATAGCAAAACATGTGTTAATGCAATACCTTTTTTGTGTGAAATACTTGATTTTCAGGAAAAATATCAAGGGTGCCAACAATTTCGGCCATGACTGTATCACCGCGCATGCTGGAGTGAGAAGTCTAGCACAAGACCTCCTGATGACCTGTAGGGAATTTTGAAGCGTCACCTATAAAAATATATATGGCACTGCAGTTTGTCACCGTTTCACAGGCGCACACAAATTTAATGTTTGACATGTTGGGTATTTAGTTACTTGGTGCAACCTTGTCTTTTATATTTTACCAAAAATGTGTTTAATTCATTGCGTTTGTTTGCCCTAATATTCACTTTTAGTGTTTCTTTTACTGAAATTTTGGGTTTCCTGGACTTTTGCAGTAATATCGTGTGACATAAAAAATTAGAGCTACCACTATTTAATTTTCTAGGGTGCCTGCTTTCAGAAAATATATAATGTTTGGAGCCTAAAATAATTTTTTATACGTGTGCAAAAATGGCCCTGGCAGCAAAAGGGCTAACAATGATGCTACCAAAATGAGTGTGTGTGCTGTAAATTGCCTCCAGCATTGTTCCTGTTTCTTCTTGTTGGAGGCCGCCATTTTTCTGAAGCCAGAAGCCCATGAGCAGCAGTAAATCTTTAGGTTGTCAGCAGATCGGCTTCTATATTTTCAGCACAATGCCAAAAGATAGAGAACAACTAAGCATGTGCAGAGCAGAGTGAGACAGTGTATTACTGGATTTTAAACAGTATAGAATCTTGTTGGGAGGCTTTTAGTTCCTTCCTCTGGATCTACAAATTGTATCAATATATGATTTCCATTGACTTGTGTTTTTGCATTTTATATTACATTGTTTGCCCAGGTTTCCACTAGGTGTATTTTTAGGCCCTTTTCACTTGAGGGGTCTGATCAGGTCCACCTGTCAGTTTTTCAGGCACTGGAAAATTAACAGCAACAAAAATCTGCTGCACATACGTGTAAAAGCCTAGTCAAGTATATACGGTACTCCACTTCACAAAGGTAATCACTTCAGGTCTTGCTGCCCTCTAGGACTGGGGATGTCCTATGACCATTAAAAATTAGCAAAAGAGGGAGCACCAGCCTGGTTCATTATCCCAAAAATGTATTTAAAATTCAATGTAAAAATTACTCACAAGCATATGAGTAAAAAGCACTCATCAAGCCACTCGTCTGCGGCTCAGAGCTCATAGTGTCAGCAGTCTTCAAAGCATAGGGGGGACTTCACCGGGGTCCCTTCAGGCTGACACATTTTAAAGGAATCTCCTTCTTCATAATTTTTGGATCTGACTGGGATTTGTCCTCCTCTGTTTAGTTGGATCGCATCGCAGGGCAGTTGTGTGTAAAAAGACATCAGTGTCTGTTTACATTCAGTCACCCATAGAGCAGAGCAGGCTCTGTCCGTGTCCACTCTGCACATTCTGCAGAGCGGACATGTACCTGTCTTCTGCTCGCTTTGGTTTAATCGGAAGGGGATCAGCAGACAGATCCCCTACTGATCAAAATGGATTCTACCCTATGTGAACCAGAACCAGCATGCTTGTTTAGTACCAGGAATAAATATCTAGTTGATAACTGCAGTTTATCTGGTAAGTCTTGGTTGTCTGTGCCTACTCCCACAATCTCAAAACTGAGGCCTTACTTTCTTGTAGGTAGACTCCCTGTTTGTTCTTCCTCATAGAGAAGCCATGATGGGAGTGTGAAACTGTCATTTGACTTTATAGTGGCTGTGCCATCCGAACACATGATGTCCTGAAGGATGCTTTTCAGAGACTTGTTCACACATGCACTAAAATATATTACGAGGTAGTACCAAAACGTTTAGAAGCTAGTTTTGTAACACGCTAACAGATTGCTGCACGCACAATCAAAGGGAGCACTGACCTTCATAAGTCAGTGTGCCAAAAGACATCGTCCTGTGTACATTGAAAGCTGTGCAACTGGTACTGTTATGACCACAAGAGCAAATGTGAAATTCTGTGTGAAAAATGGGCAAATCTGCCACAGAAAATGGGCAAATCTGCCATTTGACATGATTCGGCAAATTTACGGCGATGCTGCAATGATTCATTTGAGGGGCACACGTGCTTTAAGAGCAGAAGCACACCACTGGAAGACAACGAGAGATCATGAAAACCTTCAATAAGCTCAAACCCCGGAAATGTTGGAACCATTCGGCAACTTGTACATGATGATCATTGGAGAACAATCCACAACATTGCTGCCATTGTTGGTGTGTTATACGTTCCGTCCAGGCAATCCTCAAGTGTGATTTGAACATGTACCATGTTGCTCTCAAGTTTGTCCCCAGGCTGCTGACCCAGGAGCAGAAAGAATACCACTTTGAAGTCTGCCAAGAACTCTGTCAGCGTGCCATAGATGGACCCATCCTTCATGTCGAGGATCATTAATGGTGATGAAACTTGGGTGTGTGGGTTTCATGCAGAATTTCACATTTGCTCTTTGTTCTAACTTGCTGTCAATGATGAAATAGCAGATGT